GCAGGCATACACACATAGGGAGACATTAGCCAGGTGGCATAGGACTAGTAGTTAGCGCCTGATAAGGCAGCTCCTGCTAATTCCTCACAATTGTATTGATTAATGTTTAATAAATAATTTTATTAATTGTATATCTATGCACTGTAAAGCGCTTTAGAGTGGCTTATGTTACATATGCCCTTCCCATTTTCCATTTAATCTATGGAAAGTCAGCCTGCTGTTACTGGACAGTAACTGTAGTCTGTATTATATGGTCTCATGACCATGGTTTCCGTGACGTCAGTGTTAGCAACCACTCCCACCGATACGATAGCCGCCATCTTGTTGTTGACGTTTGGTTCATTGCAGACAATGAAGACATCAAAAATAGGAAGACAAATTCTTACTTTTGTATTAGAATGTTCTGAACATATAATTAGAGCATTTAACTGCTTTTAACAGTTGTCGCCTTGTTAAAGTTTTTAATGTCAACCGTTCTTTGGAAAGTTTTCGGTCCAAGAATTGGACCAGTAAGGTTTTGTGGCAGCAGGATATATAAATTAAGGTCATCCGACCTATTGATAAAAGACCGGTCATATGAGGAAATGTTAATATAACGATTGAACGTCTGTCGGATTGCAGTTTCAGCAAATATGAATGCAATCTGGGTGACAGCTAAATAATCATATTTATATTTCTACTGAAGTACTGAAGTAGTTCTATTAATAGATTTTTTTTTTTTTTTTGTCAGAAGTTTTCAATTGAATTGTCGACTGAACGTGCTATTCTGAAATATCATGAGGTAAACCCGTTGGTTTGAATGCATGTTTTCGAATTCACAAAACTTGTTTCCAAAATTAAATTTATTGAGACATTTTAAAATCCATCCCCATTATAGTCTATCGAAAGCTTTTTGTTGATCGAGGAATATTACTGATACTTTTTGATTACATGTATTTATTTCGCTATATTCGAAGATGTCTTGTAATAATCTATTTGCTTCAATTATATTGCGCCCCTGTACATCTTAACTTTGACTTAATACAGTGTACGATTTGTGATAGAAAGAATGTTAATAAATAAAACAAAGTCGTACACTATTGTGCTACTAAAACACTAATTTGTAATTAATATACTAACAAAACGGCATAGGATCATATTATAAAATCGTGAAAAGTTGTTTTGTCCATGAAATAAAACTTCTATTGGAAATCTGGTTATATTTTGTGAAGGTACACAAAGTTACAATAGCTTAAACGTTAGGGATGTGTACCACAAAAAGGGTAAGAAGTGGGTCAGGATAAAACTTGATATTTGAAAGACGTGCCGCCATATACAATGTATCACAATATATTGATTTTTATCAGGTATTTACTGTAACATTGGCTATGACTGTGTGCAAGAAAAACCTGTAAATGTGAAAATGATTTATAATTCCATTTGGTGTATTGGTAGCCTAATTCAGGCAATGTAAAGGACAACAGAAAACATTAACAGTATGACATTACACGAAGCAAATTAGTTTAAACTTTTAACAGACAACAACCATTTTATAGACATTTGCTTTGGAAAGCACTCGTGGCACTAACTATGATGTTTGCTGCCATACGCATGAGTACATGTAGATCACTAAACGTCTGAGACTCCAATGAACATGTCTCAAGACATGGAAGATACCAAAATCCCTTCATAGTTAAAATTATTGTTATAATCAGCAAAAATAACTTCAAAGTTAAGCCTTTTCCGATAGATCTATAAGATATGCACAGAAGAAGTTCTTTAACGAGACATCCTTTCAGACAGAACCATATTGTTTACATGTCAGCTATCCGCGATCCGTACATAAAGCCACCTAAACTTGTAGTGTGTCATAACACGGCTATCTACCCACTGACGAACAAAGGAAAATAGATGTTGTTCGCTGGTATGTCAAAGCCATAGCTTCAAACAAAACTAAGGAGTCTCTTTGCTCCAGTTATCACAAAGGCTTTGTCTGCATCTCCTGTATCATGTTCGATCGAAAGTTTCAGATGATTGTATTTCTTTGATGATTCGGATTCTATAGTGTTTATGCTATTAAGCGCAACTTACTCAGTTTCAGCTGAAATTTCATTAATCATGTCTTTATAATATTGTACTTAACATCATTTTCTACTGTAATGGTTGATACAATTGTAACAGTTCAGTGTTACTGTAATGATTTATACAATTGTAACAGTTTAGTGCTACTGTAATGATTTATACAGTTGTAACAGTTCAGTGTCACTGTAATGATTTATACAATTGTGACAGTTTAGTGCTACTGTAATGAATTTTACAATTGTAACAGTTCATTGCTACTGTAAAGATTTATACAATTGTAACAGTTTAGTGCTACTGTAATGATTTATACAATTGTAACAGTTTAGTGCTACTGTAAGGATTTATACAGTTGTAACAGTTTACTGCTATTGTTATGATTTATACAATTGTAACAGTTCAGTGCTACTGTAATGATTTATACAATTGTAACAGTTTAGTGCTACTGTAATGATTTATACAATTGTAACAGTTCATTGCTACTGTAAAGATTTATACAATTGGAACAGTTTAGTGCTACTGTAATGATTTATACAGTTGTAACAGTTTTGATAAAATGGTTATAGAGCTAGTGAACGGATTGATTTCCAGGTAAATTTGCCGTTAAATATCGCTAAGAGTGGAAGTGCCGCTTTGACATAACACCTTACTTGCATAAATCGATATATGATTTAACTATTTTACAAAAAAAACAACAACATTTTGGTCACAAATAGCTGTATCGTTCGTCTCAGCTTTTCAGAATTAAAAAAATCCCACCTTAACGACGTCGTTTTTGTAGTTTATTTTTGTAGAATTATCACGGAACAGCGAATCACTGAATCAAGAGCAAAACAGGCTGAACCTGAACAAAACAGACTCAAACTGAACAAAACAGACATAAACTGAACAAAACAGACTGAAACTGAACAAAACAGACCGAAACTGAACAAAAACCTATTTTCACATTCTTATTTCACTTAAAAACGAATTAACACTTGAAAAAACACAAAAAAAAAGTTGATAATATAATAATTATTATAATATCATTTTTGAGATATTTTAAATATTACAAAGCATTGTCAGTGTTTAAATGTTTTGAAATAGTAAATTACATTCCTTATCGGTACAGATTCTTTCCTCTTTTGGTGATTAAAATCTTTCTTAGCGTTCTGTTATGTTTTATAGAAAATAAACCTCAATCTCGTCTTGAGGTGTTGTGATAATGAAGACTGGTCCAATTCCTTATCTTCAGTAAAACATTTTCCCTCATAGCTTATTCCGTCATTACAGCGACGTTTTCCATAAAAAGTCAGTTAGGAATTTGAAAGTTTGTGACGTTGGGCCCTGTAAAATATGCCTTATATAATTATAAGATGATTGCATTTTTGTATCTGTTAATCGGAATGCATGCATAAATATTACTTCAAGAATAAATCTGAATTTCACAATTATGTTAGCTAAAAGTGATTTTGATCATTCTAAAGCACATACTTTATTATGCGCAAGGTAGACTAAGTACTACTTTCAATCAAGAGAGCTAGATAACTTACCTCAAGATAACACAGTGTAAAATAGGACTATTACTAGGGCCCCATATTTACAAAAATCATTTTCTTTTACTTCAGGAAGTTTCCAAACTTAGAGATTTCCATCGGAAAGAATAAGTGGAGTCAAGAAAAAAGTAAAGGAAAATATTTTTGATTTCAGTAACTATCTGTAATTGTTGCTCACGTCAGTAATTCCTTAGGTAACATTATTGGACCAAGATAAAAATCTCGAAGAACTAAAGCCAGATATTAAATCAGGTTCTTCCGACAATGATCAAGATACATCATGCTCAAATATGTCGTCATATTTTGATTGATAGTACTGCAAACGTAAATATCTCAAATATGGTCATTTTCGACTCACCAAACTTTTGGCGTTGTTGCAATTTTCGCTTTGATAATGATGCTTTAAAACAGAATTTCATAGTATTTCAACAAGTTTGCGAGTACAAATGTTTGCGTTGACTTAACAAACGCAAAACGTAAGCGAAAATGTCCGCACCTCGTAAAGAATAACTAATATGGTTCAATGATAGAACAATCAATGTCACAGTCACATAATGATATCACATATAGTGTATCATTAATCACCGTCATTTTATAGAATCATGTTTGTCAAAATTCGTCCATTTAATCTCTCAATATTAAGAAGCGACCCTATTTTGTAAAAGGTTAGCAGAGAAAAAACAATTTATGTTATTTTATCTAAAACTCTCATTAAACAATTTCTGAGTGTGTTTCATTTATTACAGGTCTCACGCCAACGATGGGTCACTCATGTTAACTGGCGGTAATTCTGAGACAGTTTCTAAAAGGTTTCTTTCATGCTGCGAAACAGCCTTTATGTTTCATTCGCAGGCTGCTTCAGTCACGGAATACTTGTCGCAGGATAATTAGCATCGCTGCCATCAGGTAAAATGTAACTTATATTCAAATATCTTCGCATGCATGAACGCTGATGTACGCATAATCAATTCTTGGAAGCCATACATGCTCAAAGTTTGAAGGTATATTTTTGTACTTTTTCTATATATCAGCATATTGAATATTGCACAGGAAATAATTTAATATCAATTTTATACATTATTAGTCACGTTATAAGTCATGTGTAATAAACGTTAAGCCAAAACACAACAAACTCGCCATTAAATGCTTATCCATGGCTGTAAATATGTGATATAGTTATTTATAAAAATACTATCCACATACCAGCACTCTTAAGCTGTGCTCATGTTCCTTTGAGACAAATCGATTATCCATGTACCAAATACGTCATTGCAACCAAGTACGTGTTATTTTATTTTCTAACTTATGTTTGCACACAATATTAGTTTTGCTTTAATTTGTAATATATCAAAACCTATCAACACTGTAACAGGGAAAACGTAGGACGAATATCAAAATGTTGCTTACCTGTATGAACGATGTAGATTCTCACCTGTACAGCTGGCTGCTTCTGCTGCTGCTGCTGACGTCTAACAGCCTAAGGTGTTGACCAGGTGAGACTGTGTATATATTGGAGTGAACAAATGAACTACCCAGGTACCCGGCTGCTACCACGACCGCCTGGCAGAGATCGATACCGCCTACGTCTTTAGAGAGTTGATGTTTAGAAGATAAATGCATGCCGTAAATAGATGGATTATGGTCCATGTTGTCGGAAATTAACATCTTTTAAATTACATTGTATTCTACCTTGTTCTGAAAAACTGTGCACACCAACACAAGTTAGGTGGTTAATGTAGTATCACGTTATCAACAACACATGTCTTTTTGTTTTTGCACATGTGTCAATGGTTCAATTATAATCCACGTTATAAAATGTCTAATGATACTGGATATGCTTGTCTGATTTGTGAGGGTTGTACAAAGAAGCCGAGACAAGAGAGGGCCATTGAATGAACTCTCCAACTAACCAAATTATTAGTATGTTCAGCCATAAAATCTCTGCTATGGAATAAGCTGTATGTTGTGTTACGATAAGGTTGTTGTATTTATACCTGCGTTAACAATGTATATTTGTTAATGACAGTAAAGTTTGTAAAATCAAACTTAATGCTGAGTTTATATAGAGTAGTGCTGACAGGATATTGAATTGATACGTCCATATATGACAGTGACGTTACGATATTCTAGCCCTAGATAGTCAGTATATCTATTTTTGTTGTCGAAGGTTAAACTATAATTGCGTGATGACTCACCTACGTATTACTGTCGTAACCTCAGAGGGCACGGGCATATATCAACACAGATGACGTCAATATAAGAATATGTGATGAGGGTGATACAATGTTGACTAAATAATTAACAAAGGACGTTTGCTGCCAGAGTTGATTATTTTAACGACGTTATCGAATCCCGAGTTTATTTTACACTATATTATACAAGCATAAGTTAATGATATCTATTTTACCAAGTACAATGTAATGAAAGTCGTTGGTTTCGTGTCTACATTAGTGTCTGAAGGTGAAACAAGGTGACCTAGATAATCCAATTATTTAAATTAGGCGTTTTTTGCGCATGCATTCATTTGTCACAAAACGCTGCATGTTTTACCTATTTCCAACGCTATTGGGAGTTTTCTTTTTTTACCATTTTAAAATGAAGTCGCCCGCACTCTAGACGTGACCATTTACACTGAGTAAGTTGTGGAAGTTTCTGTGCGGCTGGTGAGATCAACATCTTTGTACATCTAGTGTTGATAAAAGACCTTTTCTACAATGATTAGTCTGAACTCCCGACAAGCTTTATTTTCAGTTCTGGTTTTCACAGTTTTATAGACGATAAATAATAAACGCTGACGCCATGATTCATTTGAATGTATTAAAATCATCAGCCCATTGACAGCGCTCCTAAATGTATTAATATAATTATTGATTAACTTGCAAACACTGTTAATCTATCTTTATTGAGAAGCGACACAATTTTGTAAAAAGAGAACAAAGAAAAACAATTAAAGTTATTTAATCTAAAACTCTCATAAATTTCTGAATTTGTTGCATTATTACAGGTCTTACGCCAACGATGTGTCACTCATGCAAACTGTCGGTAAAACAGAAGTTATCTTCATACTAAGACCGGTGGAACATTCTATTTGTGAGCTATGCAGACAGAAATTTTAAATATTGAGAGGTAAAATGGAAACATTTTGATGTATTCGTTAGAAAAATGTTCAATACATACCAAAACATAAATGTGTGTATTCTCATTCGACGGCCTGCTTGTTTACATTTGCAATACATGGGAGGTGTTTGGAAGAGCGTTGCACATGCATGATCTGCTGAAAAAAATAACACATGCACGCGCATGATACATTAACCAATAAAAACACGTTAATTTACATTTTCAAACATTAACAATAGTGCATTAAAGCCGTCAACACTAAGTAAGGCCGATTACAAGGAATCATGAAGTTTATACTAATGTGTTTGGCTCATGTAGTTTGATCACAAGGGTTTGTTTGCACTTTGTAAGCGGTCAGGAAACATGTCAGTTATTTACATTAGCTGTTCAATACATTTAAATGTATATCTTTCAATGTTGTTTAAACTATCTATGCCGCTACTTAATTAGCACTTTAAAAGAGAAATAAAATGGTGTTTGTGTAGTCATAGAAGACCGCGCTGGACATTCTTCAATAATTTTTCGATGTTAAACAAATGTGTACATCATATTGAAATCGCGAAAATGTCAATTAAGACCTTTCTTAAGGTAATTTCCACAAGAAATCCATACACAGACAGGCAAAAATAACAATTGAAACGCATGCATAAGTTTTGAAGTTTCTAGACAGGGGTTTGTTGATGGCATTTCTAATTTTCATTACATTTGACGGGGTTCTATCTTTTGTTGTTGTGTTTGCTCTGGTCTCAATATATCCCTGTGTGTTAACCCTTGCGTATACAAAGAACCTTTTTCCAGTTTGTGAAACATTTATACATTTCTAATTCACACTACAAGTAACCATAATCTTTACAAATGCAAATACAAACTTGGAAAAATGACACGTACGTTGTTCATGCATTGTTAACTGTTGGTAATTCTGTATTATTAAATGTTTTGAAATATTTCTAATCGAGATAACTCTAAAACTCAAATCCTACTATAATGTATAAGGTAGCATGACGCCTTAAAGACAAATTTTACTACTTCCTTTACTCAACACCGAACCATTGTGTATATGTAGGTATACTACACGAGAGAAAAGTTAAAAGCCTTACCAGCCTTATTTAACTCAGTAAAATTATGAAATTCATTTTTTTCAATATTTAAATAAATATCAGTATTTTTATGTATGATAGTCTTTATTTGGAATCCAAGGACAAGCATATATTGCTTTCAGCTTTAACAAAATTCGCAAAAAAACTCTTTTTCTGAAAATATCTAATAATGTATTAATAAGCTGCTAATGCTTGTTTTACAAGGACTGGATCCCGTACTATGAATACCTTTAGCGATAACCTGTATTTGTGCATATTGAAAGCATAGTTAGCTTACCCTTTTTTAATTTATTTTTCAAATATTATTTATCTTCATTTCCGTTTTATGAAAGCTGTATCTTTTATCTTCGTGTCATATAATATCTCAATCTATAAAACATGGTCTAAGTAATATATATATATCTCACACTTTAATCAAACGCATGTACTAACATATTTATATCTACAAATGGTTGTGTTGAATGGGCTTCGAAATAGGTTACAGTTTTTGCTGTTAAAGAGGTGAAATCTATCTTTTATCTGGACTTGTTCACCTACGTACGTACATATTTATGTGTGCAAGTTGAACGTACTTGCCAATGTGTAATCAAAATATTAGATATCTATAACGGTGTTAAATCATGGAAAGAGATACTCTGTTTTTCTCATTAGAACATGCATAAAACAGTGGAAGTATTCTTAAATCAACACTACCAGGAACTACATTTGTGTTTAAAATCTACTGCTTTTACAAATCAGTATTGTTTGTGTTATAATGGCGAACAAAACATTCCATCCAGCCGACTACGCCGTTTTTGCTGCCATGTTGGTGATCTCAGCAGGAATTGGGATTTTTCATGCTTTTTCCGGAGGAAAACAATCCACCAACAGGGAATTTCTAATGGCCGACCGTCAAATGAGATCTCTGCCAGTGGCGCTTTCCGTATTGGCCAGTTTCTTTTCTGCGTCCACCCTGTTAGGAACCCCTGCGGAGATATACCAATACGGTACCCAGTACTGGATGTCAGTGTTTGGGGCTATGCTGGCTCCTCTCACAGGGGCACTTCTGTTTGGACCCATGCTCTTCAATCTGAAAATTGTCAGCGTTTTTGAGGTAAAGTCCATATACAAACTTCATATCACCTGCGATATCTTATTTCATGCAAATTCAATGTAAAGTCATGCTTGTATTACATTGTAATTCGGGAATAGCTTAAATTAAGTAGAAAAGATATAATTGCCATGGACCGTTTCATTACTATCAAAACTTTAAAACAAAATCTTTAAGCTGATCATATGCTTCTTAAAATGCTTCCTGTTTACAGTGAAATATTTGCGAATTTTGAGAAAAAAGAAATGCCATAATTTCTTTACTGAAAATAGTAGGGTCCGCCACCTCCGCAAGCGGTAAGAGTGGTATGATTGCTATATTTCAATTCATCAATATCCCACAAGGTAGCATAGCACTGTCATTTACTGCTTTTTTAACAATGATAAAATTTGTTTAGCAATGTGAAAGGTTACCTTTCACGTCTAGTTGGTCATTGAAGATTTGTCTTGCTCAATATGTGTGACGATAAGTATAGAAAAACAACATTTCACATTTTGTGTAATGATGAAAAATTTACGGATTGCTAATTAGTTGATAATCTAAAATTAGTTTTTTTTTTTATCAAAAGTAGTACTTCTTGAAAGTCCCATACTGTCTACAGTTTCAAATTCCTCACAAATAGTATGTATAATGTTAAGAATTGCATTGACCTTTTGAAAAGAAACGGCGAAGTATTGCCTTGCTTCTCGAGATTACGTCAGGAGATCGGGAAAGGATAATTTACCCTGACCAAACCAAAGACGATGTTCGTAAAGGAATAACAAGCAAACATCACAAACATTGACGACAAACACAGCGTGGATAGTACTCATTAATGTATTATGTAACAGATAGAATCAGACAATTGATTTCAATGGTGTCCTTGGTCAGACAATTGATTGACATGGGTACTTATAGAAGTTAAATCGATATGTCAATGTTTTTATTTAGAACTGTTAATTGCATTGTGTAATATAAAAAAGTTAACGTAAAGTTTAACACCTTCCGTCTGCATTTGTTTACATACACTTTGTAAGTATTGCTTCATTCAAATCAAAAGTGTCGCTGTTGCTTTATTCGGAAAGTGCAATACTGGTTTAAGAGCAATGCTAACCCGTATGTACAATATGATCACAGAGCAATGACAATTTGTGAGAGGTATAGTTAATTATTTTGGAAATAGATAGGAGGTCAGTCAAAGTTTTATACTTTTTATTTGGAACTAGATTACATTAGTAGGAGTTTTGGTTAAGGTCAATATTTCAAAAGACTCTCCTTCATTTTTTGAAAGTCATTTAAATTCATATGATACACTCACCGTTTTAGCGTGTTAAGTGAATGTATTTGGAAAAAAACAGGATAACAAAACATGCCTTCACAAAATATCATAATATCCGGGGTAAATTTTATACAAAATGTTTTCAAACGTGTTTTTCTCGACGGGGCCAATCTTAGATATTTTTCAACGGTGGTATTTTTTATTTCAATCTCCCTTCGCCATTAGACATCTTCAAATAATATATATCTTGGATCTTATACACTGATACACAGAATTTTATTCTGCCTTTAATTTTCAGAGGTTACCGACTTTTACAAAAGAAACTGTAAAGTATTCAAATGAATAGGTAGTCTAATACACAGATACTGAGGTTTTATTCTAACTTAAGTTTTTTTACATATCGATCCGCTGTCAGTTCTAAAGAATAACTTGATGATGATTGGTGTTGGTTAGCTTTGCAAGTCAGTTGCTGATGATATCATAACTCTGTAATTATGAGTTAGTTTAAAACACATAGCTATATATGAAGTATATGGCAGGTATAACTAAGCCTGTGATTCAAATTTAAATGTTTGTATATTTGCAAAGTTGTATGTGTTTAAGTAAGTGTTCCATGTTTATCATTATGGAACTCCCTGCATGGTTTCCTGTTTTGGTTAGATATGACTTTCTTGTCAAATTCGGCAAAACTTTAAGAAAGCAGGAATAAATCGAAGGAAGCACAGATCCAAATCAGTGAGTCCGATACGCTCATCACTGCGTGTTCCTTGTCTACAATATCGTTACATGTCAGACAGTAATTATCTCGGCATCTTTACATTTGATATGTTGTATGCTGGGATCGGTCATCATTTGTTTACAGATCTTGCATGACCAAAACTCTCCTTCCAAAGGGAGATAAAATGCACTCTCGGAATACTTTGTCCGAGTTCTGCCTCTGGAGCGGGTCTCCCTCACATGCTGGGTGTCGCCTTGCGTTTGGTTTACGTTGCAATGATCGTTGTTGCCTGCCGCCATGATGCTTCAGTCAATGATACCGGCGTTTTCGTCACTCAGAACCGTGTAATAGCGCGGCTTGGAGGAGAGAAATGCCGGGTTATAATTCTTTGCCAAGCTATGGGACGAATAGGTGCATCTAAACTAGTATATTGCTTTTTTGCCGGAGCCGAGAACAAAACATACGCTGCCTTCGATTTTATCATATAAAAAACCAATGCACATTTTGATAACTTTCGTCTGTATTTGTTTACTTATACTTTGTAACGCGAGCTCCGTTCCAATATAAACTGCGGTTGCTTGGTGAAGAAAGTGTATAATGGGTTCAACAGCACAACCAGGAGGTGCAGAACGATCTTCCAGAGCAACGATAATAGGGAAATGACATCTTAATATGACATCAATATATTCTACTCTTATAAATATTGGTGCGAGGGAGCTGGATATCAAGGATATAATACAAACAAGAATACAAGAACTCAATGGTGAGGTAAATATCGGTCACTCGTCTGGTATTTCTGCTTCCTCAAGGTATTTCTATAATGTTTTTGCTCCCCTGTCATGTGGCCTGTCTCCCTGTCGCTCTGTTAAACCACTACAAATGTAGGTTTAAAGGCTGTAAAGCTAAAGTTGTAAAGCTAACCAGGCTTTTTACAACAGGGTTGTCGCTATTTACAACCCAGGCTTCACATACAAACTAGTTCTTGACGACAAATTCATTTTAATACAGATTATCAGATTAGTAAGTTGTATGTTTTAAGGTTAAAAAATAAAGAACTAACATGATCATACAAGTTATTTTGAATTTGTTTTAAGAAAAATATATTGAAGTAAACTATTACTCTCTGTATACCAATTAAAGTATTAAGATTATTTGACTTAAGCAAAGTAAATAAAACAGATTTCTGAATTGAAAACTTTAATGCCATCGACATAAATTTGAACTAGCAGAAAAAGCAACGCGAGCAAATGGAAGAAAAAATCGAGTGAGTGATAATATAAAGGGGAGACGCTAGAAAGTTCAGAAACAATATATCAATGGGGATACTAGGAGGAAACAAAAATACAAGCCAGAGAACGAGGATTTTTCTCCTCGTTGTGCTATCGTATTATTGCTTAATCTCGATACCCACTTTCACTCTAATCAGACCCCAAACGATTTTCGCGTAGCAAATAAACATCACAAATACATATTAGTGTTACACCGTGAATGCAAACATTGATGATAAACACTGCGTGGCAAGTACTTGAATACTGTATTATGTAACAGCTAGGAACACACGACAGGGTAGCCTATACCGGTTGTGTATATATTCCGTTCGATTAACATTTCAGGACTGTTTTGATTTGCAATTGTATTTTTATTTCCTCCAGGAAAGGTACTTAAATACAAGCTTTTATCGGTTTTTGAATATAATAGTGTCGTATTAAGCTATGCCATTGATTGGTAAAGCTACATTTAGAAATATAAATCAATATGTCAATATTGTATTTTTTATATAAAAAAAGTTTGTCGTATCAAATAAAAGCCAACGTACTTTTAACACCTTTTTCTGGGTTTTTTAATCATTCTTTTTAATGACAGCTTCATTCCGATATAAATCACTGTTGCTTGGTTCTGAAAGTTCATAATGGGTTCAACAACATTTTTGTCCTGTTATAACCAGATGGTGAAGAGTGGTCTCACTGAGCAACGATCATATGGTAACGATATTTTAATCTGAAATCAATATATACGGCTCATATTAAATATTGTAACGGGGGGTTTTAAGCGTTTGACACGAATAGGGGTACGAGAACAGAATGGCGAGGAAAATCTCGCTCTTTGGTTCAGAATGTGTCCTCGCTCAAGGTAAATCTATTGCGTTATTTCTCAATCGCCGTGTTGCCTGCCTCCAAGTCAATCTGTCGAACCCCTAGAAAAGAAACTTTAGTTTTGGCTTTCAGTAATTTATAATATATATAATGCATAAAAGTTTCACCTTAAATTGCTGTTAAGCATACCAGATTTTCTCAACATGATCGTTGATATTGACTGCCCAGGCATCCAAAGTAGTTCTTAACGACAAATTTAATTTTTGATACAGATGATTTAGTTTGTACATAAGTTGCGTGTTTAAAAGATAACAAATAAAGAACAAACATGAAAATGCAATTTTTGAAATCTACAATTATATATATTTACCAAAACCTAGCACCTAAACTATAACAAATATAGCACAGTTATTTTGGTTTTAATTTGAACAAAAAAAGATATAAAATGGAAAGTTTAAGATACTTTGACTTACAAAGAAATTAAAACATGTTTTCTGAATTGAATAATTTTGTTCCATTAAATACCTTTAAAAAAGAGATAGTAACGCGAGAAAAAGAAAGTTTAAGTAAATTGTAAAAAAAACGAAGTGCGAGGAGGACGGGGGAGCGGGGCAGTTCAAATGAGTACTTGAGAATAGCGACACAGCAATATCTAAGTAAAATTATATTCAGAGAACCAATACAGGCTGGCGAGAGAGTACTTTGGTCAGCACTGTGTACTCGTGCTCGCTGTCATGCTCTCGATACATCAAGTGACCGAGAATACTTCACCCTGACCGGACCCCAAACGATTTTCGCATCGGAACAACAAAAACGCTTCACAAACACATATTAGTGTTACAACGTCTACACAAACATTGGTGACAAACACTGCGTGACAAGTACTCGAATACTGTACTATGTAATATGTAGACACAAGGCCAGCTGACAATGGCTTGTATGGTTTTCGTTGGACGAACATATAATGACAGTTATGATATTGGAATAATTTCCTCCAGAAAGAGACTTGGATACAAGTTTCCATTGAGTTTTGATTTTAATAGTGTCCTTCAAGGCCATGCCATTGAATGATACAGGTACTGTAATATGTCAATATTTTATACTTGCAAAAGTCAGTGTACAGTCTGACACCTTTTTGTGTTTGTTTACTGATACTTTTGTGGCGACAGTTTTTTCTAATTTAAATTGTTGTAGATCGGAAAGTGCATACCAGGTTCAACAGCATGTTTGTCTCGATATAACCTTGTGTAAAATATCTCAACAGTAATAACAGGATAACGACGTCTTATTATGAAACCAATAAAATACTCGAATAGAATAATGTTGTTTTAAAATCCTACTTTAGTGTAACCGTAGTAATCTAGCCATATTCGTACTCATAAACAAGAGGCCCATGGGCCCTACCGGTCACCTGATTTCTGATATATTTATACAGGGAGTTGATTTTTGTTTTTAAAACATAAACAGAAATATAATTCAAAGTGACAAAAAAAAACCGATAAAACCACCTTATTCAATATCTACCATACAGATTTAAGACTGAAAAGTGTTTGAAACTAGCACCTCTGATTCTAAACAAGGAAAATGAAGGATTTTAGCACACTAACTTCTTTTGGCCCCGCCCTACAACCCTTGGGAGTAAAGCTGGCTCAAATTTTTCAAAGTATCAAACTGTCAACTCAGGGTTAAAATTCCAATCAAGTTATCAACATGTAATATCCAAAGTTTCATTTGCCAATATAAACAATAATAAATGTTGCCCCTTTTAGTCAATTCGACCCTTTTTGGCCCCACCCAATAGCCCCGGGGGGTCAGTCAGGGCTGATATGTGCGTACCATCAAACTGCTACCCAATACTGATAATGCTAACCTTAATTGAATTACCTCCAATGGCAATTAAACAAATGTTGGTCCAAAATGTGATTTCCCTATATAAACTATAGTAAAGTTTCTTGACCCCAGGGTCAAGAAATTCACAATTTTGGTAAAGCGCCTTAAGACCCTTCCATCTATGAAGAGTATTTGATTCTACCATATCTGGGTCTTGAGAAGAAGATTTTTTTAAATTTCAGTCAGTTCGGCCTTTTTTGGCCCCAACCATGTGCTTTAAAACAGTAAAGCCTTACTCGTTGATATTTGTTTTAGCACTAAGGTTGCCTTGAAGACGACGGCAATATCACCTTCTGACTGATTTGAACGTGAATAAGAATGTCGTATACAGCATGAATAAGCTATTACGCTAGAATATTTTGAAGCGTCTTACCAGATTCCAGTTACTGCGCAATGCCGATGTCGAAATCAACTGTTAAAGACGCGTAGTCTTCACAGAACGGCGATTAAGTGCGCAACATTTGGGGAAAAAATGTTTCTTTGTATAGTCGCATTATGCGAGTTGTGGGTTCAATAACGTCGGAATTAGTCATTACGGTTTATATGTTGTATTGCTTGTGTTCAGTGGCACTGGAAATAAGTAGTTTCTATCTGGGAGATATCGAATGCTTAAGTACATATATTAATCAGTTGCATATGATATTTATACGTTTGCGAGAATGTAATGTAAGCAAATCTTGTGTTTATTTACAGTACCTTGAAATACGATTCAATTCGAAGTCAGTTCGACTGTTTGGAGCGACCTTGTTTCTACTGCGCGCTGTGAGTATGTCTACAATGATAACAAACCTAACTGAAACCACAAAAAAGTGATACATTACTGATGCCATACAATGCGATAATGAATCACAAAAGAAAACATTCTATTGTTCGGTACACTATTTAGAATATTTGCTTGTTGGGTTCTTCCACTGGGACTTTCTTTTTCTACGAGAGATGATTTTTTATTGGCCTGATTCGCCGCCATAGAATGTCACAAATACACGTGTATTGATCGTCGTTTGTTTTATGGAAATATTTCCCGACATGCGGCTCATCGTTAATGCTTTAATATTGATTTTACAGATAAAAGAACATTGCAGTGTCTAATTATACGAAGATTCCTTTTATTCTTAGAGGGTTTTCTTTCAGAGATTGGTTATTTGATTTCAGTTTTAATAAGTTATTTGGCTCTGTGAAGACCTTTCAGAAATCACATTTATACAGGGGGTTATCTTTTGAATGAAATAATGGAATAGTTTTCGTGTTACAAACTATGTTTGGCGTGAGCTTGTCAATGAAATGCAGAAAATCTAAACACAAAGCATAAGAGAGAAAATCTACCAAAACTGAATTACAAATACTCTGGTCCAGAGTACAGTAAGTCATAAGATATTGATTTATATCATAATCAACATCAGAAACATCGATTAAGTTAATTTACTTTTACCTCATTGCGTTCTTCATACGTTTATATCTATGTCGTCCTGCCATTATTTGCTACTGCATTCCAAACAATCAGCGATCTGAGTCAAGCGTGCGTTTTTGACGAGCTTTGCAATAAAAAGCAGTTTTACTGCACGGTACAAAATAACGTTTTCGGACAAAAATTTCAAAGTATGATTTTTTCATATAAATGAGATCAGTTTATATAATAGCGTATCTAAATGAATGTAATTGATCACATGTCCTTGAAATAAAACTGTTACATTTGTATGTGCCTTCGTAACATTAATCTCAGGAAACACATAAAAATGTTTCCCTACCGCTGAGGCAATGAATTCTTAACGCCATTGAATTCTATAATGAATACACATTTGTTACACTGAGGATTATAGATATGTAATTTCGTTATTATATTTTCACTATATACTAAACGACGGAATAGTGTGAAGTGTGTGCATAGTTTTTATTTTTTTACTTTTGATAAATACCACATTTGTCCAAGGATTTCAATCGAGTACAAAGTTACCAGATTGTAACTCTTGATTGGCGAATAACGGTACGGATTAAAAGGTTGTTTCTACTGTATATATTCCATGTATTCTATCATAATATAAATTGCAAAAACTTCACATTAGTAGTATGTGATATGAGATGAATATAAATGAATAAGTGCATAGAATATACAATATAAAGAAAAATGCCGTTATCTCTATTTTACCTAGTGGCTATGACAGACCAGACAATGAGAAAGTAATTGGCGTGTATCAATTAAGCCATTATCTTTAAACATTTTAATTTAGCCTTATATAAGAAACAGATCCCTTCCACTTGACGTACGGTTCGATAATAAGTATTAAGGGGGATGTAACCGTGATTTTAGGTCAAACAGCTACGTATGTAAAACATTAATGATCAGGTTATATTTTGTTTATAAAGTAGAATGACAAGAACTCCGGGTCTTTAAATATGTAGGAAAATGTATGCATACATTCATAAGCGCTGTCAGTACACACTTTGTGACGTAACAGCAGTCTCTATTTTTATATTAGGAGGGGGAGATGAAAGGTCCAATTGCACAGTTTATCTGTGTCCTGAAACAATATTGAACTATGTTTATTGTATTTACAGACTCTTGGTATGGGTATCGTTCTGTACGGACCTTCCACGGCTTTAAGTGCGGGTAAATATAACAGTTTAGTGATGATGCACCTGAATAGACATCAATATAGAATCGTCAAGATATTTTGAAAAATTATTTTTTTCTATTGATTTGGTGGTAAAGTGAATATTAACATACCTTCATATCAGATTTCCATCTGGACCATAACTTGTTAGTCATATCGAGTTAAACAATGCATTCACAAACAAACTTATGAGTCGTTATGACCCTGAACTCCTTTATCATTCTTTGAAATTAAACAATTTCGAAGAAATATCAGCAACAACTAAAACACTATCGCTTCATCGGAACAGGATGTGATCTGTTATTTGTTTTGATGTAGTGAAGTGTGATCACTCTTGCTAGAAATTTAAGCCTTTACCAAGTTGGGCAGCGCTACTTTGTGGTATAACGTTTTGCCAAATTCGAGTACGAGGAACAGGGATATATTACTACTTGTTTCACGTTCATTAGCTATGTATGAACGAATCGAAGGCATCATTACATAGATAATACAGCTCTATCCGGCTTCCTTCTGTACAAAGGTGTAAACGACCCCTGGACATTTTCTGCATATGGGCTGCAAATGCGTCCACATAACATGCACTTTTTATCGACCATTTTTTTCCTAGATTTATCAAATTAAGATGAAATGGTAACGGGTGTGATGTTTTTATTTTTTAACATATACAAAACCTGCACAAATTCATATTCGTGTGAACATTTATATGTCAAAACTCAAGAGGAAATTCCCCTTTGTTTTTGCTTCCATGTGCTGTTCGGTCTGACGTTATAATGATATCAAAACGAAAAATGCTAATATATTATTACAGTGCATATCAGCTTTAGTTTATTATAAATACTGAAAATATGAGATACCGTTGTTGAGGATTGAAAACACAGTGATAAACTGAAACAGCGTTTGTTGATATACTATCTGAGTTTCCCAGTATAGGAGTTCTCGTTAGTGGGTCTGACCATTCTAGGTCAGCGATTTCATTGTGAGTTGTTTGTGTCATTTTATTTTTAGTTACCAACTTCCCTGTTTGGGCAATCATTCTCATGGTTGGCGGGGTATGCACATTCTATACGACATTGGTAAGTACTAACTGTGTAAGTTGGAAAAGCAGGTGTTTTGTTTATATGAAACGGATGTCGAAGACTCAATGTGTCCTGTGCAAATGCAACGAAAAACACTTTTTTCGATATTTAAACGCTCTGGTATATGCACAACATATCACTTAATAAACAGATTATATAACAAATATTTGTTCATTCGAGCATCACTAATCCAGGTACCATTAATCCGGTTATTCCGTTATCTGGTCAGTTTAAGAAGCTATTTTTTACAAACTTTTCCCAGTAATCATGCCATTTTTTACAAACTTTTCCCAGTAAGCATGCCATTCCAAGCGTTAACAACGTTTGCTAGAGTTGGAGGTTGTGGGAATATTAAGGCGCCACTGTAAACCTCTCTCTTTTCCACTCTCAAAGGGAGGTATGAGAGCCGTGATCTGGACCGACGTGTTCCAGACAGTTGTAATGCTGGCCGGTATGGTAGCTGTCTTGATACAGGTTAGTATACATGTGTACATCTATGTTCCTTTATTCACTCTTTTTCACCTTACACTCGTTTCACTTTCAGTTCTCTTCATTCTTTCATTTTCATTCGTTCAATAATTATTGCTCATATTCATGATATTCATGTGAAGTATACCAGCATTTATGTCTGATTTCTAATGCTGATGGCTAGAGTACACTTGTATTACATCGAACACGTTATATTAAGATAATGTAAACACCTCTACTTTGAATAAATATATTTACATAAATATTGTTATCAGAATATGTTTCTGTAGGCTTTCACACCTCGGTACGTTCTCCTGAATCTTTATCCTTGATGATAACAATCATGTTATAACGTCAACCCTTTGTCACCAGCGCTTCCGCAAAACTGCTTAATACTCAATAAGGTATGCGTTTTATTTTCAGTATTATAGAGTGACTGTCCACACCTAATGACTGTGGTCGTTGATGAGACAATACTTTAAGATACATGTAGTATGAATCATGTTTGCCCCTGTTTTCATTCTAATATTTCGCTGTGAAAGAAAAAAGTAGCCTTTGAGATAGCAAAACTTTTTTACTTAATTTGTATTTTTTTTAAGTTTTATTGATTTAACACTTTCGCTTTAAACAGTACCACGATAACAACACAATACTTGAAGAAATTTCACATTCTTTAATGTGGTTGCTGTTGTCGTTGCAGGGATCTATTCGAATTGGAGGACTGACTGAAATATGGAAAATTGCGTACGATGGTAACAGAATAGAGTTTTTCAAGTACGTTTTAAAGACTATATTAAGGCAGATCTCTTTCAAAGAGACGTTAAATACTTTTTCTTATGTTTAGATGAAATATTAATATAAAAAGGGCATTATGTCGTATTCTGGTGACAGGGTAGGGTAGAAATGCAGAGGGGAAAGACGAGGACTCGAACCCCGGTCTTTATGTCATTGTCTTCCTAATCAAAATACCTCAATAACAAGTTATATACAAATCGAAGTTAATTGAAGGTAACTGTATGTACGAAAATTGCTATTGAAGCATCCAGTGTTTTACCTGCAGTGAGACAGGGCTCTTTAAGTGTTACATGGGTATAGGTGAAAAAAATAGCAATCGAGAAGATATAATAGGCAATATGTTTACACAAACATAACCTTTATTATAACATTAACTGTACAGTAGATATTATTTTGTAGTAATTTCAATATTCACATCAGTTCCTTCAGTTCAAAAACGTATTTTACTTAAATATTCTTTGCATTACAGACGGAAAATCATTGCTGACATATTACATCTTCAATTATGTTTCGTTTTCTTACAATCTATTAAAACAAGCATGCCATAAAGTCTGCTCTTCGCACGATAATAACACCCCTCCAATTAAACCCGTTATTAATAAGATACTTCATATTTTGTTCAGCTTTGACCCAGACCCTCAAGTTCGTCACTCGTTCTGGTCACTTGTCGTCGGTATATATTTTGTATGGCTACCACCGTACACGGTCGACCAACAGATGGTACAGAGATTCTCGTCAGCCAAGTCCCTGAAGGACGCGAAATTGTGAGTATCGTGTGTTCTAATGGTAAAATGCAGGTTTGTTGTCAATCTTTACAAAGGAAAAATGAAACGTTTCGAATGGTGTCATGTAATATATATACTATATTACAATTTTGGATATAAACCGTTTAATAATTTATTCAATGCTTACAATGGAATGCCGTCAAATAAATGACGCATGACAACACTGTTATTACCAGTAAATAGATACTAATGAAGACCATTTACTCGAAGCTTGCTATTTCTGTAAATATTCGTATTGAACTCAACCGAATCTCCTTCTATAATAAGCGACAGTATACATAATTTACCGGTACGTGTCACGAGGTTAATGAAATTTAATACAACCTTTTCATGATACCATTGAAACATATTTAATAACAAGCAATGTAGCGATAATCTAAGAGGACTAAACCCTCTTTTATACATTGATGTCACTGCTGATGACATATTTTGATATCTATCCTATCATATGTACATATCTTTGGCCATGCGACCAGATACATGGAACAGGATAATATATTCGAGTTTGACTTCGATTTTTTGTCTTTGTGTGCTGATCCTGTTATATATATTTTCTTACTACTTTCCCTTTCAAGATAAGCTAAAAAATCTCATTATCATCATGAAGTGTAAGCTTATCAAAACCTCACTGATTTACAGTGAAATCAAATCACCGTATAAATTGCTTAAATTGATTGTATGAATTGCATGCATATGAATTAAACATGTAAAACGCCTTAGAGTGGCCTATTTTCCCTAGATAAATGTAGGACGCTATATTAAGTTATTTGTATATAGCTAAAAGCGATCTGTCTTTTGAGCTATATTTTGCCTTTTTATTTCCTTCTAGATATACTGGGCCCATCTTCTAGATATACTGGGCCAATCTTCTAGATATACTGGGCCCATCTTCTAGATATACTGGGCCCATCTTCTAGATATACTGGGCCCATCTTCTTTTTGAATCTTTATTTTTGGAATCCTCAACATATTGATTCAAAAGCGTGATAAAACGGAGCAATTTTCTTTTCCATTACTTCTTTGCTGGCTATCGTCAAATTGAACTTTGATATTTCCTGAATGTCAATATAAATGTCACCTGATAAAGCCCTATAAATCATCATACTAATGATGCCCAAACTTAAGAGATAGCAACATATGTCCAATCTGAGGCATGCAATTTGACCTGATTGGGAAGTATTGATTATTATGAGGAGTTAATGAATATTTTTTAGTCAATGAAGGTATTCCGTTTGTTTACTATTCAAATATAATGGATATATTGTTTAGTTAACAGCATGGTTGGTATTTCCAATTACCTATTTGTATCACAGTCATCGGTTAATGTGCTCTGTCGTTCAGGTTAAGCCATGCAATCCTAATTATGTTACAAAAGTGCAATATTACTATCGGGGTTCATTTAAAAAACGTTAAACATCACCTCTCATTTTCAACTTTTGTAAGCATTTTATCATTCTTAAAATGATTTGATTAATTAAACCAATGTATGTTTTTTATTAATCATATAAAGGCCTACCTGTTACCCCAGCCTAGGATGATAACATGTCAAAGTGGATTCGTGCTCAAGAGCTTGCTCCTACTATGATAATTTCCGTGTATAGATGACACCGCTTAAGCACAGGGCACAAGCTTTCCCAAGGGGCAGGTTGATGAAGACTGTTGACAAACTTTATGGTCACCGATATGACAGTTAGGAAATAAGCTATTTATTTGCGTGAAATGAAGGTCGATATTTTTTGTTGTTGCCCATTAGTTAACCTTGTTGTTGTGTTGCCACTAATCCTGTTATTTCCACGACGACGTGACATACGTTCGATCTGACCTAGATTTACAAGGCGTCTGTGAACCGTCAGGATATTGAGCCCGAAGTGTTGTTTTGTTGACATTTCGGTACTCACTTTTATATTTAAAGAAAATGTCAAATCAGAATTTTAGAAATTGGAATATAGGACGACGTATATACAATGTATATGTAGAGTTAAGCATTTAGTCTATTGAATGAAAACTGAAACAAAGCGATCATATAGCGTTCCATTCGTGAGACTGTCCAAATGCATTTTCATGAATATTCATTATGGAAATATCATGTCTTTTGACAAGATGGCCAGTCATTAAAGATACTTTAGTTCGTTACACGTTCGTTTGCCTTTAACATGTCTTGTATATTTCAGTGCTTTGCTGTGTAACATTCCTGGAATGTTCGTTCTCATCACTCTTTGTTCTTTGGTGGGTGTGGTTTTGTATGCAAATTATGCCACGTGCGATCCTCTGAAAAACAACGATGTCCAAAACGTAAACCAGGTAAAAATTTAAAAGTACTATTACACGTCATAGTATAACTGACACACATTCTTGTACGCAATGATGTTAGCAGTATTTTCCAAAATCTTGGCCTATCAATATCCCATACGTATTTGTGCGCCGAATTTTATTCATGTACATTTGTTTATGCAACTTAATGCAATTCGTCAAAAAATTGAATTGAGCATGCAAACCCCCAACTATCTATACAGTGGCAAATTATATATAAATTAAGAACTAAAAGGAAATAATTCAGTCTGAAGAACAAAATTGTAATTTCAAATGAGAGCAATAAGCATGTATTAAAACACTGATGTTATATTTCAGCTTTTACCATACTTCGTCATGGAGATATTTGCAGATTTACCTGGCTTACCTGGCCTGTTTGTGGCCTGTATATTTAGTGGTGCGCTCAGGTAAGATATACTTTTTTGTGATTTATTGAATAATTTAGAAAAAAATATTTCTAAGAATAAGATGAGGAGGAGAAAAGATACTATGTCGGGTTGCTCACAATAAATTCAGTGAATATAGACATTTTCTTTATGCGAAATTTCTCCCATTTCAAGCACATCACGGATTTGTATAAAACAAACCACCTGACTATTTAACAAAATGCACACAAAAAAACCCCAAAAGCGTGAAAAACTTAAACTTATTTGTCAGTAAGAAAAAATGATTAATGAAATGACGGGAAATTATCCCATACTTGCCCGTGAAAGACAGGAATTGACCCGTGAAAAGATAACCCTGTCTTTTCCTCAGGAAAGACAGCCTACATGCGCTATGACATCATGACGTTAATAATTAACTGATGAATGGAATTGCTGCCAGGCAAGTCCGTCAAATGACGTCGCCGTTTGAAATAGTTCCGTTGTTTTTACTGTTCAATTTTCATTCGTTTTGTACTCATTATAAGATATATTAACTGATTATTAAATAAAAATATCACCCCATCATTTGGAACCCCTATTCATGTAAGTTGACTTACAAATTTCAATAGTTTTGGCAATGTTTTAGATGACATGTTTGCGTTGTTTTGTTGTAAAATGATCAGACTGGGATCTGGATTAACTCGAGGCTGATGACTTCTATATTCAGTGCTGATCATATATACTGGGGTATGGTTTAACAATGTTAAACCGCGCTGATCATATATACTGGGGTATGGTTTAACAATGTTATACGTGCTGATCATATATACTGGGGTAGGGTTTAACAATGTTATACTGCGCTGATCATATATACTGGGGTAGGGTTTAACAATGTTATACCGCTCTGATCATATATACTGGGGTAGGGTTTAACAATGTTATACTGCGCCGATCATATATACTGGGGTAGGGTTTAACAATGTTATACCGCGCTGAGCATATATCCTGGGGTAGGGTTTAACAATGTTATACCGCGCTGATCATATATACTGAGGTAGGGTTTAACAATGTTATACCGCGCTGATCATATATACTGGGGTAGGGTTTAACAATGTTATACCGCGCTGATCATATATACTGGGATAGGGTTTAACAATGTTATACCGCACACTATTCACAGTTCAGTGTCATCCATGTTGAATTCTTTGGCGGCTGTGATGTGGGAGGACTTCCTCAAAGTTAGGATAAAGCGTGTGGAGGAGGCAACAGCTACACGGATAACAAAGTCTCTCGGTAATATCTAATTTTAGCTTTAACATCATAAGTAAAGCCTCCTTGCTATGCTTCTTGATTCATTTGCCACATCGCTGAATCCCTACGTAGTCAACCTCTTTCTTAAAACATTTTTTCATGTTTCAATGCCCCCTTTGATACTTTTACTGTATATTTGTGGAAGTTTAACTATTTTTACTTTGAAACTAATTCTGCCTACTTTCTCGCTTAATTTAATCTTTATATTTCAATGTTCTATTTCCTTATTCCTAACATGCACCAATTGTGTTTCTTTTCTTATTATACAACATGCCTAACTATATGGTTTTATTTTCGCCAATATTTATTTCTTTATCCTTCACCGCATTTCGTACTTTTCAATATCTACTGACCTACGCTGAACTTTTCTTTCCCACGATACCAAATAAACAGCTGTAATGTTTGGTTGTTTGGGAGTTGGGATGGCATTTGTCGTGGAACAAATGGGAGGAACTGTCCTTCAGGTACGAATGGCTAGCACATGATACTCCATGTGTGTTCCTCATATCATACCTTTATTATCATTACTACTAACTCTACTATTATTTATTTATACCTCAACTTTAAGATTTGTGCGCAGTTTTCTTTCTAAAAAGAAAAAAAGTAACAATAATACTAATATGATTATACATATATAATACATTGAACGAATAATATTTTTTACGAATAAAGAATAAATATAAATCATGCAAAAAATAGTATACCTGATACTATGTGAAAAAATTGAAGATACCTTTTTATAGAAGAATTACTTTTTGTAATTAAAGTGTTTTACAAACCTTTCATCCGTGCGTCTTTAAGCCACTGGAACATTGTGTTTAAGATTTGTAACCGCCAAATTTGGCAGTTTTACGTATCACTTACATACATAATAGCATGTGTTATGCGTTTGTGATATGTACTTATCTGATTGCAACTATGGAAAGTTCCGAACGTGTTTAATGCCTGAATAACGACCACAATGCTCATTACTTTAAGATCAAGCAATTTTGCCAAATATTATCGAGAACCTTTCTTTCAATACTAAGATTTCATTGGTGTAACACCATCATGTGTTTGTATTTTAGGCCTCCTTGACCTTCAATGGTGCTATAGGCGCTCCTTTAGTCGGCGTATTCATTCTGGGGGCGTGCTTTACCAGTGCAAACTGGATTGTAAGTTGTAATGTTGTATCCATCCAAGCCCACGCGTTAGCTCAAAATAGGCATAACAACAAGCCAAGGTTTAAAGCGTTTGAAAACTTTTGAATCTTGGTAGATTGTAGTCAAGAATTGTATAAATAAATTATTCAAATATTTGTATAATTCCATATACACACAAAAAACCCAGAATGAAATTTAAATCTCCACACGAACATTCAACAATGGCATTATGTACCGCAAATACATCAAAATAAAAGGGAAGATATCATGAACGTAGAAAACAAAAAGACTTAACCAGGTCAAAAGTCAATGTTTCCATGAAATATCACATGTCAATCCATGAACACATGTCAGTAATGGGTGGTCCAGGATATGGTAAACACGTCTAAAGATGCCAAAATCGCAAAGTTTATATCTAACAGTTGTTTTAACGTTAACCTTTAACTGCAGGGTGCTCTGGCTGGTGGCGTCATGGGATTCGTTTTTCCAATATGGCTAGGAATCGGAAAGTACGTCAGACAGCCACAAAATTTCAAACTTTCAACGAGCACCGCGGGTTGCTTTGCTGAAAACCAGACGTCGACGTCATTACTGAACACTACACTGTCCATGGTATCTTCAATCCCCACAGTCACAGAATCAATGTCAGAACTGTCGACCTGTGATGGAAGCATGCCCATATCTGCAGAGCTGTACGTTGAAAATGACACAGTGCAAGCTGAGAACGATATTTATCAGCCTGACATTTTAATAATATGCAAGTTTTACATTTTACATTAAAATAGGTTTAATTGAAAGCAATTCAAATTATATATTTTTAATTGTAATTGTACACTGAGTGATGTACACCTGACTTTACATTTTTTAATGTTGAATTAAACAAATGCAACAAATATTTCTTTATTCTATTTGTATGTTGAGTTATTTTATAAACTGGTTGTATACGGACCTGGTATAGGTCTGAGGAGCTTTAGGTAGCGTCAGTCTGAGGGCCGATTACTTTGTAATACATCATTAAAATTGTCTGACAGTGCGCTTCCTTTTTGTTTCAACAATAATGATTATACCATTTGTATAGTATAATGCTGGATCTTTGCTTACATGTCTGATGCATAACGTACATACTGGCATAAAATCGGGCTTGTTGCAACCCGTTTTGTGACTTCATGAAGGAGGAACGCAATACGTCATAAATAATCCCGTGTTGTGTTGTTATTTCTGAGTTAAATTAAATCATAATACATGCGAGTTTAGATCCCTGACGCTAAGTTTTGTGTATTTTTTTATCAATGCTATTTATAATAGATTGAGCTGTCTTAAATCATACTTAAGATACAAATAGTAAGTAGCGGTATATTGCTTGGTCTCATTTTCAGGACTGGTCTAGATAAGCTGTATGGTGTGTCCTACATATGGTTCAGTTCAATAGGTATTCTCACAGTGGTGGTCATCGGTCTTGTGGTCAGCTTGATGACCGGTAAGTATTCCTCTCTCATTCTAACTCTGTTTTTATGTTTAAGGTGCACGGGCTTCCCCGCTGTGATATATGTATATCCCTTCAAAACGATTTGATTATTTTGACACGTGTAAAATGTTTATTATAACAGTTCAAATAATGCCACCATTTGTCCAATCAGATTTTGGCATTAAAAGGAATCTGGCGGAAAATTGAGTGAGCCATACAAGAATTGCAAAGAAAAACCACGAAGGGGACGTCGAAATATATGTAGCTGATATAGCTTATGAAATATGGTTCATTATATCTGTTTTAAACTGGGCAAGAATTGTGAACATGATATCAAATGTCAGTAAAGCAACATAAGTAGGGTTATATATCTATATAATGAACATGGATTTTATCAATCATCTGACGTGACGCAGGGTCGAATTGCTATATACATATTAGTGTATTGTTTAGTATTCGTATTGATGTTCCTGTGCAGAATCAATAAAAGAATACCTGGCTATACCCCAAGGAATATAGTATGAGGCGATTACCTGGGGCCTGTTTGTTAGGCGAAACAACCGGTACGTCCGTTTTTAAATGTAACATTTTTAGGTAAAATCCTGGCGGACCTGCAAAAGTTTATGTAGGCCTTGCAGGGCTTGGTCAATGCTCGTCTGAAAGCAGATTCAGATTACTGGGTCCGACCTTATTTCGGTGAAACGAACAAATCTGGTCCAACCGGTTCAACTGTTCGGACCGCGATCAACGAAAACGGCCCTAGTCTTTCTTTTGGGTTGTATATCCCTTGGCTGTGGTGCGAGTTCATTAAACCCCTTCCCCTTTTCCACAGTTGGTGTATCCATCAATCATTGATATGTCATTAAGAGTTCTGTAGCCAACAATGTCATGCACTCTGAAATCAGGAGATTACAATCCCAAGTTTGGTGATAAATAAGTTATGCCACGTTAGAGAATGAAATATCAATTAGCTTCATAAAAAGGTATTGTTTTTCAAAATAAAGACAAATTGTACAAAAAAGCATGCATATTTATGTTTGTACTGTCCCAGAGTGGTCGATTATACAGTCCCAGGTAATATATAGAAATATGTATTCCGGTTTAATGATTCATATGATACACTGAAAATAATAGAAACCTACCTTCGGTTTTATAAATATACTCGACGGATATTGGAGGTGTTGTGTTGATTGCTAGCTAGCAATTTACTCCATTTTATTCCTTTTTAAACCTGATTTGTATTTTCATGAAAAATTAACAGGCGAATTCTGACGTATATTCTTATGATTAATTTTTTAACTTTATATTCGTTTTGCTCTAATTTAAAGGTAAAACTGAAGAAGATAAAGTACCTGAAAATCTACAATTGCATTTCTGGAAACGACTGTATGCATTAATATCGCATTCTTCCAGAAACAAAGAGACAGTTGTAAGTAAATTTATGAAACAGAGACCGTGCTACACCATGATTTAGATGATCTATACGTTGTACATATCTTTTATTCGTCATATACCTTCCGGTACTTTGGTTTTACTTTGTGATAATAGGATATGTATTTATGTGACACTGGCATGCTCCATAGAGGTACCAGACACTAAGATATTTCTTCAGACCGGATATCTATATATGCTCCATAGAGGAACCAGACACTAAGATATTTCTTCAGACCGGATATATATCTATATGCTCCATAGAGGAACCAAACACTAAGATATTTCTTCAGACCGGATATATATCTGTATGCTCCATAGAGGAACCAAACACTAAGATATTTCTTCAGACCGGATATATATATCTTTGCTCCATAGAGGAACCAGACACTTAGTTATTTCTTCAGACCGGATATATATCTATATGCTCCATAGAGAAACCAGACACTAAGATATTTCTTCAGACCGGATATATATCTATATGCTCCATAGAGGAACCAGACACTAAGATATTTCTTCAGACCGGATTTATATCTATATGCTCCATAGAAGAACCAAACACTAAGATATTTCTTCAGACCGGATATATATATATACTCCATAGAGGAACCAAACACTAAGATATTTCTTCAGACCGGATATATATATATGCTCCATAGAGGTACCAGACACTAAAATATTTCTTCAGACCGGATATCTATATATGCTCCATAGAGGAACCAGACACTAAGATATTTCTTCAGACCGGATTTATATCTATATGCTCCATAGAAGAACCAAAAACTAAGATATTTCTTCAGACCGGATATATATCTATATGCTCCATAGAGGACCCAGACACTAAGATATTTCTTCAGACCGGATATTATATATATATGCTCCATAGAGGTACCAGACACTAAAATATTTCTTCAGACCGGATATCTATATATGCTCCATAGAGGAACCAGACACTAAGATATTTCTTCAGACTGGATATATATCTATATGCTCCATAGAGGAACCAGACACTAAGATATTTCTTCAGACTGGATATATATCTATATGCTCCATAGAGGAACCAGACGCTAAGATAATTCTTCAGACCGGATATATATCTATATGCTCAATAGAGGAACCAGACACTAAGATATTTCTTCAGACCGGATTTATATCTATATGCTCCATAGAAGAACCAAAAACTAAGATATTTCTTCAGACCGGATATATATATATGCTCCATAGAGGTACCAGACACTAAAATATTTCTTCAGACCGGATATATATATATATGCTCATAGAGGAACCAAACACTAAGATATTTCTTCAGACCGGATATATATATACTCCATAGAGGAACCAAACACTAAGATATTTCTTCAGACCGGATATCTATATATGCTCCATAGAGGTATCGGGATATTACTATCACTTTGAGTGCGCCTCGATCTGGGGTTTAAGGGTAAACTTGTAACGATGTATTTTAGTATATTACGTTGCATGATAAAAATTACGAAAATATATTTCCTTGGCTATATACAAACATAGCCCAGCAGTATCCGGAATGTTGTGTTACACCGATAGTAAACGGTGTTTCAAGCTTTGTAACAGTTATTGTGAATCAAGAAGCTTTGGGTGCTTTCATTTGGTATTAATTGTAAGTATGACAGCTAACTGGAAACAGTTAATCCCTTCGATAGTTAATTTATAGTCTCTACTTGACATTTATAATGAATACGACTGCCAAATGCGAGTTGGCAATAGTTTGATATCATTATCAATACAGTTTCATGCTTAAATTATGTCTCAAATTGACCTTTCCGTACTCACCGTCTACCGATATACGTCACGTGTTAATGTGTAATCGTTTGATGAAAGAGGGATTAACATGGATATTTAACAGTGTTTTCTCAAACATGAACATTATACAAACTTCAATTAATCTAATGTATTTTCGTATGTTTTCAGGAGGAAGAGGAGATTGCAGGAATAAAAAGTGCACATGACGAAGAATTGACAGACGAGTATGTCAGCGTTGATGATGCAACAACATCGTTGTAAAACGTCATTACTTTTATTGTTATTGGTATACGTCCAAGGTGTAAACACATGCACCAGTGTACAGATATTATCCAATCAGAAAATACCAATATGCATTTCGACATATTACCTATGAACTGTCTCATTAAGACCATTCGGACACATGCATGTACATAATGCGTATATACGTGTTCAATTAAAACAATTACCTTGCTATTTGTGTATCCTTTATTACCTGTAATAGAATCCACCTGTGTCACTGAGCTAGCGCTGTACATTGTGTATCGTTATATTGACACTTCCATTGTGTAGCCTCTAAACACAAACATATTGCTTACACGGCATTATTAACAGGGGGAGTAGGCTTTCAAATACTTAAACACCCAATGTACCCTATTTCGTGACCAGCCCAAGTAGGAACTACATTATGCTTCTACAACAATTAAATCCAAAGTCAAAGGGACTTATGACGCTTCATAGTAAATATTGTTTAAATCTACATAGATGTTGTTTATTGGTTATAGGGATCGATTTCACCTGTCTCTATGTTATTACCCAGAGACTAATTCTACACTACAGGACCAGAGCCCTAGAGTAATCCTGGCAGATCTCTGAATGCTTTGCAAGCAAGCGATTGGTTATTGGATGGCGATCTAGACAGTTTCATGACAAGCACTTATGATGTGTTATGTGTCGTTATAGGGCGTAGATCGCTTCCGTTTCCATGCAAGTACAAAGGGACCCTAAGTTTAACCTGACAAACATTACCATTAAAGGTACATGTAGCATTGGTGAATTTTGTCTGTTATAGGGTTGAGATCTCAAGTGATTTCAAATATGACCAAATTTCCCTTTTGGGTCTCGTCCCTGAGTAGGGAATGAACTACAGGTCAAATTATTATAGCAAAGATGTCTTTGTCGAATGATATCCAGCACGAGTGTAGCAGTTAAAGGTCCAAATATGATTTTTAAGAATGGCATCATTTTCACCTATCCTTTTAGACGCCATACTGCATCCAGAGGGTAGCACTCTCTGCTTACCAAAGAAGGCTGTGTATACACTTTGCTTTATAATTCCCATCCGTAACAAAGAAGAAGGATTTTAAAGACTCATCTCTATTCCAAACAGTGGTCCCTGTTCTTCTGTCCACAAAGAGAGGGAAGGGGTCATAATTGTACCTTTTTTTACACAATATCTTTTACCTTTCCCACAAATGTACTAAAATGTATTAACACTGTACTGAATTTAAAGATTAAGCTCTAATTCTCCCTACGGAGCCCCACTCCCTATGATCTTGTTGGTCACACACTCCTTTTAAACAGAAGGATTTAATTATTAACAAATATTTCCTTATTGGGCCTGTTTCCTTTGTTCCTAGGGGCGGCCACTCCCTCAATTTGTACACAATTGAGTTCCCTTGGTCCAAGGATGTTACAGAGCAAATTTGACCACATCCCCATTATTCATACAAAAGAAGAGGGATAATAAAGGTTTCCGTTAAAGTGCCCCGCCTTACTGTCTCTGTGGGCCACATCCTTTATACAAAAGTGTGTCATCTTGGCTCAATAATAATATAGACCAAATTTAGTCGGCCGATCTGAAGTTAACTAGCAGACGACGATAAACGGACGGACAACGGACACCGTACCATGACACATACTCACATGGCTGAAAAGCTAAACACGTACATACTTTACAAATATATACAGTAACTCATGGTTATTTTGAGAAGTATACGCTAAATGGTAGACTGGCTTCCCGCCCCTAAGTTTTTATGAAGAATTTCTCAGCTGCATCTTTTCTATTAGCTTATCTCCCCCTTGTTTAGAACTAAGGATCGCTTTAATTATCTCCCCCTAGTTTAGAAGTAAGGATCAGAGTGATCAAAATTATTAACAGTAAAAGTTTTGTCTTAATAATTCAATATTCTAGAGACGGGGGCCAGTCTAGCTGAATGGTAAACATTCAATGATATGACAACGACACCACAAGATAAGAAACTGACATCTGTTTAGCGATAAGTGTTGAGTAGTATTGACCAAGATAAAGGGTCGCTCGCTATGGTGGAACAGAGCATTGCCGCTGTCCTCTTAGTGCTCCTTCTTTCTGCAGTGGAAAGTTACACCCTGAAGAAGCTCGGATCATTCCCAATTCCATATCCCGGATTTACTACTGTATATCCGAAATCATCAGGGGATGTTGACCTACTTATATCTACGTTTAATCCGATACCGTTCTCCACGGATACAGCTCAAATTGTATTCACGAACCAATCACGCATTTCTATTAATAACATACATATCAGTAACATATAAATGTACATAATTATCAGTAGTTATAGACAATAGATAGTAATTCAGTAACGTTCGAGGTCGCCACGTTGCAGAAATAAGCAGCCTATACATGTATATCGATTTTGCGCCTTATGTCTTCGCTTTTCTTTTTATATATACATGTATATATTTATAAATACGATCACATATACTTTTGATGTTTTAGGTTCATATGTTATACATTGTGTATATTGTCTATTTTTGATAGTTATAAATAATTACATATTTATAATAGTGACAGTACTGTAAAATTATAATTTTTCGTAGGACGTTTGTTTCGAGGATAAGAAAAATCCACGAAATTAAATCCCCACGAAAACATAAATTTGGTATGATATAGATAGGGGGAAACCAGAAATCAGCGAAATATAATGTCCTTGAAAACCACGAAATGTTAACCCCACGAAAATAAATGAGTCTACAGTAATATGAAATTGGTTATTTTTTATACGATTCAGAGTAAAACATTGTTGTATATATGTGTACAATAATAAGTAATTCATAATCGCTTATTTGTATCAAATTGGCAGTTATACATATAACTATTTATGTGAACATATCATTGAGCATCCGTTTTTTGATGATAACTGTACAAAAATGACTCTCACGGTATGATATCAACATTGAAATATTTGTATATCTGTATAGACTTAATAGAAATATATATAATTGGACACCCGTATACAATTTAATGTATGGCTGATACCCGTATACTTTTCAATCAATGTATTGTTGATACCTGTGTACTATTGATAGCAATAAAAGTTGATATCTGTATCAAAATATAAGTCATATATGCACCTCACTTTCAGAAGAGTACCACTCTACCAAATATTTATGAATGTTAATTTATTTATGACCTACTATCAAAAATGCATTGAAAACAATCAGGTAATTATTAATTAATAAAAAAAGGATATTTCTAGAATACGGGGAATAACCCTTACACAAACACACGTATCATGTAAACTGTAGTAAACACATCTTAATACCACGTGTTCTTATCCATATTGTGAAATACTTTATATTGTTTTGATTGTTCATTTAAGAACACGTGTTCGGAAGACGGATGGTAGCTATTCCTCAGGGATTTCTGGTGCCCTTTAAGAACGATGGTTCCATATCCTTGATGGACATCTCCGTGCCAACACCCAAAGGTCCATACAAACTGACCGATGACAGCTCCGGGAAGTGGTTTTACCACAGGGTTATATGGAAAGACATGGATGCCGACGGTGATGACGATGCTGTCACGTGTCGAGCCCGGGAGCCAGTCATTGGTAGCGACAAGGTAAGTGTGTATGTAAGTTCGCGTGAGTGGAAACAGTGCACGTATAAGGTTAGCATAAACGTAAGTGTAGAGTAAATTCTTTACATAAATAGGTGTTGACCAATACCAATCAAAATCACAACGAGTGTATGAATTACAGCTGATAGTATAAGAAGAGTTTATTGTATATAACTTATAAAATTGAATGTATTTTTAACATATAATATTCGAGCTGATAATGTAGACTACACCTGTGCAGTCCAGCGACTTATCAATCAGACGACAGGTCAATAATTTGATTTTGCTTGTAACAAGTATTTCCATTGGCTTAAGAAATGTATGTTATCATCCAATAACGTAAAAAAAATGACGTCGCCATTTGTAACGTCGCTTTTGATTGGTTGATACAGCGGCGCAATAATTTCTAAAAGAAAAAAGTCCATCAATAAAAGTGGATTTCCACAGGGATTAAATTATAAGGATTAACTTGAATACATTTTGTATGTTATGGAGCTATAACACAAAAAACCGGAGTGTACTCTCATCATAAACCGCTTCGCGGTTTATTTAGAGTACACTCCGTTTTTTTGTGTTATATCTCCATAAAATGAAAAACATATTTAAGTTAATCCTTAATTAACACTGATAAAAAAACATTATTTCATTCATAACAATATTTTTTAATTTTTAAAATCTTCTTACCTGATAATTATCTAATATTTGTTTTAACTTTTAACTCTATTTCATGTTGATATTTCTTTTAGCTCAATTATATTATAATTATCATTTTAAATATGTATGTCCTGAATTTCGTATTAGCTAAAGAGTGAATTGAAAGCAGGAAAACTGACTAATGAACAACTTGGTTTAGAACATGTTTCACAGAAACTCAAATATGTTGGAATATATAATATTCGACGACGGAACATCAGGCTGCGGAAGTGTACACCCCGAAGGACTGCCCTGTATTCCTGTGGATAAATATACTCCATTACTCTAACATACATCTCCGTTTCAAGTTCGTCTTTTTTTAAGAAACCAATAGCATAGTAAGTTTAATATGATTCAATTTATAGGAAACATATTTGCATTTCATAAAATAATTGGATAATGGATAATTTTAAAACAATCGTTTAATACTGCGAATGGACACATGTTTAAATGGATAACTAAAATAGGTTTTCTATGTCAGGAGGCATGTCACCTTGAATAGGAGTCTTATCTACAAGTAAAAATGTATTTGGGTGGATAGCGAACTTGCCTTTCACAAAGGCGACCGGGGTTTGATTCCCCGATCGGATGTGAAAAGGTATAGGGTCACCTGCCCGACCACGTGGGGTTTCCCCGAGTTTAATATGGTTAAATTTATAGGGAACATATTTTCATTTCATAACAGAATTGGATAATGGATAATTTTAAAACAATCGTTAATACTGCGAATGGAAACATGTTTAAATGAATAACTAAAATAGGTCTACTATGTCAGGAAGCACGTCACCTTGAATAGGAGCCTTATCTACAATTAAAGATATATTTGGGTGGATAGCGCACTTGCCATTCACACAGGCGACCGGGGTTTGATTCTCCGATCGGACGTGAAAAGGTATAGGGTCACCTGCCCGACCACATGGGGTTTCCCGGGGTACTTCGGTTACCTCCCACATTAAAACCCTACGCGCGCGTATATCCGGGCCAACAAGAGTGACTAATATAAGTTGAAATAACTTGTTTCATAAAAGTTGTAAAATAGATAAAGTTTATATGTAATTTGTATTTAATTCAGTTTTGCGGTGTCCTTGCTCTTATAGGAGTTTGAGTTGTTATGGTTAGAGAATCAAGGAAGGCTTGATTCGCCATGGACACCCCACGTGATCGCCCACGGTCCCGACATCTTTATGAGGAACGCCACACTGATGACACCGAGTGGGCCAAAGGATTGTATTATCACGGCACAATACTTCACCCAGAGTCTGTCCGTCTATTGGACAGATAATATCACACATTCGTGGACTAATCTGTCACAGGTACACCATCTACTACTTATCGTCACAATTGTTTATAAAGTATCATCAATATTCCTACTTCCTTCTCAGCTGTAACAATGTGGAACATACTTAAATATACATTGTGAACATGGAAATTTCAACTCGCGACCAGTTCCACGTTTAATATATTTAAGGAAACCAGGATTATGTTGGGCTCATACCGTAGATACCGAAGAAGACTGTCTGCATTTTGCATAAATTTGCGGAATATAATATAATTCAAACAGACAACATTTTTTTAGTTCAAATTCAATGAATTTATTCAATTCTTATATAAAAAAACGCAAATGCATATTAAGAGCAACTTCAACCAATCAGGAGTTAAGATTATAAATACCACGACAAACATTACGATATAGGACCTCATCACTGTTTGTGTTGTTTGATGTTAAACGATAAAACCTTTTAAAGTTTAGCATTGGGGTATAGGCAAAATTATATTATATTTCACGCAATATACATCTTCGCAAGAGCAGTTGGTCGTGAGTTAATTAACATACTTCGCGAACAGCGTATTATGTACGGAAAGTTGTTCGTGTGCAACTAGAACGTGCTATTTGTATATGCTTTTTTTAATTCGTGTATTAGAGTCATCACAAAATATGGTTTGGAGGAAAACTTGGAATTTTGTTTTTGAAAAATGGTTCATTATTATGATATATTGAAACAGGTACATTCCCGGGTGATAGACAATAGCATAGGAGGCGTGTTTGAGGTGGAAGTCGTGGACCTTAACGGGGACGGAAAACTTGACCTTTTGGTGACAGAAAACGGAGAAATAGGGGCCCTGTACGGGTTTGAGATACCAGTCGACTTTAGGTAGGTGACACATATTGTGATATTTAACCGAATCTTGCATTGTCACAATATATATAGACAACACGTAACGACTAGTATCACTAACATAAAGGTTTTGGTGTGTTTGCAGTTAAACTTTGATATTTTAATACTCTGTGAGCAGGACGTATAAAACCCGATTTTACAGTGAGAAAATTCACCATGCCTAGACCCTTTCCACACAAATTTGTTAGGTTCGATTTTGCTTTCAGTCGATTTACACAAAAGTAGAAAAATACGAGTTATTGAATGACCGTCATGTTTTAGATAATGAATGAAAAATTACAGAAATCAACATTGACGCAGTGACAACGTAATGCATGAGGTTCAAGTGTTGCACATAACAGCAAAACGATTTGCAAAAGGTACACAGAAAAAAAGAACCAGAATAACATAAACAGAAAAAATATAGATAACAACATACAAATGATAGATATCCCAAAGAAATAGCATGAACATTTGGAACAGACGATTAGGGTGTTTTTTCAATGGAAGGACACAAAAAGCTCTCATTTCAGTAGTTTCCTATGTCACCTGTAGCGATCATACAGGGGGATAAATCAGGTCAGATATTTTCTAGTGTGCCATATACCGCCCAGGGTTACTCTCTAGTGTGCCATATACCGCCCAGGGTTACTCTCTAGTGTGCCATATACCGCCCAGGGTTACTGTCTAATGTGCCATATACCGCCCAGGATTACTCTCTAGTGTGCCATATACCGCCCAGGGTTACCGCCCAGGGTTACTCTCTAGTGGGCCATATACCGCCCAGGGTTACTCTCTAGTGGGCCATATACCGCCCAGGGTTACTCTCTAGAGTGCCATATACCGCCCAGGGTTACTGTCTAGTGTGCCATATACCGCCCAGGATTACTCTCTAGTGTGCCATATCCCGCCCAGGGTTACTCTCTAGTGTGCCATATCCCGCCCAGGGTTACTCTCTAGTGTGCCATACACCGCCCAGGGTTACCGCCCAGGGTTACTCTCTAGTGGGCCATATACCGCCCAGGGTTACTCTCTAGAGTGCCATATACCGCCCAGGGTTACTGTCTAGTGTGCCATACCGCCCAGGGTTACTCTCTAGTGTGCCATACCACCAAGGGTTACTCTCTAGTGTGCCATACCGCCCAGGGTTACTCTCTTGTGTGCCATACTACCCAGGATTACCTTTCTAGTGTGTCATATACCGCCCAGGGTTACTCTCTAGTGTGCCATATACCGCCCAGGGTTACTCTCTAGTGTGCAATACCGCCCAGAGTTACTCTCTAGTGTGCCATATACCGCCCAGGGTTACTCTCTAGTGTGCCATATACCCCCCAGGGTTACTCTCTAGTGTGCCATATACCCCCCAGGGTTACTCTCTAGTGTGCCATATACCGCACAGGGTTACTCTCTAGTGTGCCATATACCGCCCATGGTTACTCTCTAGTGTGCCATATACCGCCCAGGGTTAATCTCTAGTGTGCCATATACCGCCCAGGGTTACTCTCGAGTGTGCCATATACCGCCCAGGGTTTCTCTCTAGTGTGCAATACCGCCCAGAGTTACTCCCTAGTGTGCCATATACCGCCCAGGGTTACCTCTCTAGTGTGCCATACAGCCCAGGGTTACTCTCTAGTGTGCCATACCGCCCCGGGGTACTCTCTAGTGTGCCATATACCGCCCAGGGTTACTCTCTAGTATGCCATATACCGCCCAGGGTTACCCTCTAGTGTGCCATATACCGCCCAGGGTTACTCTCGAGTGTGCCATATACCGCCCAGGGTTTCTCTCTAGTGTGCCATACCGCCCAGGGTTACTCTCTCGTGTGCAATATACCGCCCAGGGTTACTCTCTAGTGTGCCATATCCCGCCCAGGGTTACTCTCTAGTGTGCAATACCGCCCAGGGTTACTCTCTAGTGGGCCATATACCGCCCAGGGTTACTCTCTAGTGTGCCAGATACCGCCCAGGGTTACTCTCTAGTGTGCCATATACCCCCCAGGGTTACTCTCTAGTGTGCCATATACCGCCCAGGGTTACTATCTATTGTGCCATACCGTCCAGGGTTACTCTCTAGTGTGCCATACCGCCCAGGGTTACTCTCTAGTGTGCCATACCGCCCAGGGTTACTCTCTAGTGTGCCATATACCGCCCAGGGTTACTCTCTAGTGTGCCATACCGCCCAGGGTTACTCTCTAGTGTGCCATACCACCCAGGATTACCTTTCTAGTGTGTCTTATACCGCCCAAGATTACCTTTCTAGTGTGTCATATACCGCCCAGGATTACCTTTCTAGTGTGTCATATACCGCCAAGGGTTACCTCTCTAGTGTGCCATATACCGCCCAGGATTTCTAGTGTGCCATACCACCCAGGGTTACCTTTCTAGTTTGCCATACCGCCCAGGGTTACCTTTCTAGTTTGCCATACCGCCCAGGGTTACCTTTCTAGTTTGCCATACCGCCCAGGATTTCTAGTGTGCCATACCACCCAGGGTTACCTTTTTAGTGTGTCATACCGCCCAGGGTTACCTCTCTAGTGTGCCATACCGCCCAGGGTTACCTCTCTAGTGTGCCATACCGCCCAGGGTTACCTTTGTAGTGTGTCATACCGCCCAGGGTTACCTCTCTAGTGTGACATACCGTCCAGGGTTACCTCTCTAGTGTGCCATATACCGCCCAGGATTTCTAGTGTGCCATACCACCCAAGGTTACCTTTCTAGTTTGCCATATCGCCCAGGATTACCTTTCTAGTGTGCCATATCGCCCAGGATTTCTAGTGTGCCATACCACCCAGGGTTACCTTTCTAGTTTGCCATACCGCCAAGGGTTACCTCTCCAGTTTGCCATACCGTCCAGGGTTACCTTTTTAGTTTGCCATACCGCCCAGGGTTACCTCTCTAGTTTGCCATACCGTCCGGGGTTACCTTTCTAGTGTGACATACCGCCCAGGGTTACCTCTCTAGTGTGCCATACCGCCCAGGGTTACCTCTCTAGTGTGCCATACCGCCCAGGGTTACCTCTCTAGTTTAACATACCGTCCGGGGTTACCTTTCTAGTGTGACATACCGCCCAGGGTTACCTCTCTAGTGTGCCATACCGCCTAGGGTTACCTCTCTAGCTATATAGTGTGCCATACCGTCCAGGGTTACCTCTCTAGTACTAGTGCCATACCGCCCAGGGTTACTTCTCTAGTACTAGTGCCATACCGTCCAGGGTTACCTCTCTAGTACTAGTGCCATACCGCCCAGGGTTACCTCTCTAGTGTGCCATACCGTCCAGGGTTACCTCTCTAGTGTACCATACCTTAAGACTGTGAGTTTCCATATCAAATATACTTGGGAGAAATAACTGACTCGATATTTTTGTTGGCAACAGGACGGACAATTTTACTCGGCATACCATAGCACAAGGCTTCGGACCGCGGAAATCCGGGACCGGAAAAGGAGCTCCTGGATCTCCTGCAGCGGTGTTTCCGAACACAAACGATACACAAAAGTAAGTATAGCATATTCTGTATAACAGTTGTTTTTAATTTCCATTAGCAATGTTACTAATTATTCCTATGTAAATATTGAAAAAAGTTGTGAAGTGATTTAAAATAGTATAATGACATACATATAGGATTTTACATGAGTTTCCATTTCATATGAGATTTATGGAACGAGTATAAGATTTTTCTATTCAGCGAGCCTCCGGCGAGCTTAAATGAAAATTTCGTGACGAGTTTTATAAATTTCATATGAAAGGAAAACGAGTGTAAGATCCTTTTTATCACATAGTCAACAACAACCTTCATGAAACCTTGAAATGTAAAAAGCCGCCATTTTGACTCCAGTGCGTAAGTCTGTGACGTTATGTCCTAGGCGTGACGTCACAATTGAAACGATTGAAACTTACAACCAATCACAGGGCTGATAGGTCAAATACGCAAAAAATATGACATGGATATATTCACTGGATAACAGTACATTATGTGATAAAAGTACTTATAGAATTTCCACTTTCATGAAAGACCAAAATTTTCTCAGTCCGATGATGCTGCTCATTTGTTATTAAAAACATCAAAAGTATCAGTCAAGATTTAATTACTTTCCATATTTACAATTGTAAACAATTCTCTTAAAAAATCTGTTAAAATAAACCACATTGATATTATTCTTTCTATCGTTGGCGTAGATTATCGATCTCATTCATGTTCCCCGCACAGAATCACTCTGATAACACGTTTTTATTATAACTCGCGATATATTTGATATTCTTATCGCATTAAGTTTACTTCCAAAATGTGATAGAACCCAACAGTAACATATAACAATCACTCAAGGATTTTTATTTAATTAACAAAACTCTGTCCCTGTTGAAGTTTCACACAGTAAAGATAGTAGAATTTGATGAATTTCAAAATATCGCAAACAATATAACCCATTGTGCACAAAAACAAATCCATTGTGAAAAAAATAATTCCAGAAAGAAGCCCTCCATCTTGCTGTCTGGTGATGATGAAGGCACAGCGTATTACATAGAACCTGTGAGCGACGACGCGTCGCTGTGGACGTACAATATAACGACGTTTTTACAGGCAAGCGACGGGACGGTCGGCCAGCTCAGCTTCGCCGACGCCGACGGCGACGGATACCAAGAAGTGTTCGTGCCATCTTATAGCACGAACGAGCTATATGTCTACACCTTCCATCCGTAGGGCCCTCTGTCGACTAACCTCACTCTTGTAATATTTGTTTACTGGCAAAGTATAGGTCTCAGGTGCCTAATTTGATATCGAGCGTGTTCTTATTGTGATACATTGCGGAGATTTCATTTTACGGGTAACCGCGACCAGGATAACCATGTACAATGTAAATTAAACACATTCGTTTTCTTTTCTGATAGCGAGTAAGAGGACGGTTTGCTTATACTTAGGAACTGGTTCCTCGTTAATACATTCCAGGTGCACTACCACAAGAAGTTTACACCTTGAATGTAAACATTTGTAAATAAAAAAATAAAAAATGTAACATTTTTACATGTAGAGAAAAGACAAATACCTTGAGATACAACAGTTTAATCTATTTCTTTAGGTCTGGCACATCAGCCAGCAATCGTGTTATGTATCGTTTCCAGGGAGTAACGTTCTAATGAGGTGGCCTTGCCGATTGTATGTGACAGTGAATAAGCCTAATCAACAACAACAACAACAACAACAACAACAACAACAACGTCATAATAAGAAAACAAACAACGACAAATATGCTGTCTCAAATTATGAGAATGAAATTGCATTGACGGAAAAAATCGACGCGCAAACAAATTTAAAATTTTATATTTATATTCCTATTGTATTTATGTATGCTTCTAACGATTAACTATGCACTGTAAAGTGTCTTAGATTAGGGTTTAAGCAGTATATGGCGCCATTTATAACATGTACAAAGAAGTCAAAACAATTGTCTTTGAGCTAACAGGGCCTATATACCAAATATGATGCAGTGATGTTTTTTTCCCATTCTGCTAATTCAATGCTAAGGTAATACAATGCTAAGGTAATTCAATGCTAAGGTAATTCAATGTTAAGGTAATTCAATGCTAAGGTAAATTCAATGCAAAGGATAATTCAATGCTAAGGTAATTCAATGCTAAGGTAATTCAATATTAAGGTAATTCAATGCTAAGGTAATTCAATGCTAAGGTAATTCAATGTTAAGGTAATTCAATGCTAAGGGTAATTCAATGCTAAGGTAATTCAATGCTAAGGATAATTCAAAGCTAAGGTAATTCAATGCTTAGGTAATTCAATGTTAAGGTAATTCAATGCTAAGGTAATTCAATG